ATGATGGTTGTGTTGACCGTAGTAAAGATAGATGCATGTATAAAAGCAAAGTTATCATGTCTGATTGGTCCTTCTGGGAAACTTCAGGTTAGTATTTTGTTTTGATTGATATTTATAATTAAAGGCAGTTATGATATGGTGAATTCTGCTCATTTCAACATTAGTTATGTTTATGTATATAAAGAATAATTTTAATTATTTGTTTATATTTTAACAACTATTATTTCTTATTTGCTGTAATTTTCTGTATTTGTCTTTTTTCAGGAGAAGATTGCCAACCTGTCATCACCAAATTAGATGTGAAATCTGGTTGTGTATCTATTGATTGGGACCTGGGTAAAGCGACATCAGGGTTTATTGAGAGATCTGAAGATAAACTTAACTGGACTGAAATCAAAACTGTGAAGGATAAGACTGGTTCTTACAAGGATCGTGGATTACAATCCCAGACTACATACTATTATAGGATACGAGTTGAAGATGACACATCTGATGGTTATACCGTCTCTATAAATACTGAAGGTATATATGTGTGACTTTCTCCCTGCAAGTCAGTTTCAGATTCTCCATATCAATTTCAAGATTGCATGTGATAACTTCAAATTGTCTGGTTTCTCTCATCATGTGACCTATGACCTTTTGTTGTGGTGTTAGTACCATGAATATAAATTGATTTATGTGATGATGCAGTGTGGTACATGTATTTATAATATGTATGTGTCATTGACCCAAGCTGAGTAATCCGATGTATTTTTCTTATTGTCTCTGTATTATATTGTTTGACAGGAGACATTGACTCATCCAAGAATGAAGGAGTTTCTTGTGAGGACAAGTTCAATCGAATGCTTATTGATGTCTCTTCTGAAATGGGAGAAGGTAATTTATAAATCACATTTCGTTATCATTTCATATTTTGCACATGATCCAGTATTAAATTATGAATATATTCATCATATATTAAGTAGATTTAATTGATGTCACCATTTCATTCATCACAACAAATGAGTAGTATTTGTACTTCACAGTGGTGTGTACCAGTAATTTGATGAATAAATAAACGATTTTTTCACAGATGACTTGAGATTATTAAAACAGAACTGCGGTGGTGGACTGATACCAAAAGGAATTCTGGAGAAGAAGACAACTGCATATGATGTGTTTGATTGGTTACGTCAACGGCGCAAAATCAGAATTGACAACACAGAGTTTTTGGAACAATTATTAAGGCGTATAAAGAGGGACGATCTGGCACAAAAAGTCCAGGAATATCACTGATGACATGACAGAGGTGAATATATTTATCTGAAACTGTTAATTAACTACTATTAGATTGTAATAAATTAATAACTATTTATTGAACACTGATTTCTATTTGTTTCTGGTGTTTCAGATTTATGGAAGTGGTACCAATAGATCTCCTGTTGAAATTATAGATATAGCCATACTGAGTGTACCTTGTCATAGATCTACACTTATGAAGTTATCAAGGGAGACACACTTATCGCTGTAGATGTATCCATATATAGTGTTTCTTCGTTACAATTTCACCTTTTGTAAACAGACACCCGTAGGACACTTGTGGATCAGTGGAAGAGTTGTCTGTTTTTGAAGTTTGTTTAAAATTAGTATTTTATAAAAACTTTATAATTGTGTTCTAATAGCCAGACGAATTCCTGTAAATTTTGATTTTGATTTGTCTACTTTGACAAATAATATTTTTTTTACATTGTCGCGTGAACTGCGTGTCAAATACAGCA